GGATCGATCCTCATTTGTGTGGAGTCTGGGAAAGACCTAAATCCCGAAGCGGGATGAGGGAAGAGGAGCCGAGGGATCCCGGGATGAAGCTGAGGCTGTTCCTCTCTTCCAGAAAATGGCGGAGAAATTCCTGGAGGGCGAAGTGCCCTTGGAAACGTTCCTGGAGCAGTTTGCCACCATGAGGAAATTGTCCCACCTGCGCCGGGTCCGCGTGGAAAAGCTGCAGGAGATCGTGAGGAAGTCGGAGGGATCCCAGGAATCTGGCCGGGACTCGCAGCCTCCTCCTCCTCCTCCTCCTCTCCCTCCTGCTCCTCACATTCCTGGCTCCGGGGATCCTCCACAGCCCTTCCCAGCGGGATCTCCACCCTTCCCCCTTCCCTACAGCCCAGCTCCCGTGCTCCCTCCCGGCCCCCCGGCCCACGGAGCGCTGCCTCCCGCGCCTTTCCCAGCAGCTCCGGCTTCTTCCCAGCCCGGCTCCCAACCCTTTCCTTACCCAGCTCCCGGATATCCGTCAGCTCAGGCTCCCAGAGCCGCCTCCGGAGGCTATTCCTGGTCTCCATCCCGGGCCCCTCCGCAGCCGGCGCCGTATCCCGGTCCCAGTCCGTCTCCTCCTCCCAGGCCGGGATACTCTCCCTACATCCCTCCTGGAGCGGGAAGGCCGCCCTATCCCACCCAGCCCCCTCTCCCGAATTTCCCGATCCCGGCACAGCCTCCCTATCCTGGGGCTCCCCCCCCCCTTTGGTACCCCCCCCCCCTCCCAACCCTTCCCGTCCGGCTTGGCCTGGATACTAATCCAGGACTTTCCGGGAGCATCCTCTGCTGCTTCCTTCTTTTTCTGGGGATTGAGGAACAGGTGGAATCCCAGGAATTCCGTGGGATGAGAGTCACAGCTCCAGGAGTCAGAGCCAGGTGATTCCCAGCTGGATATAGCAAGAAGGGGCTGCCCCTCAGGGCTGGAATTCCGGAGAGGAGAAGGCTCCAGGGAGACCTTGGAGCACCTTCCAGAGCCTAAGTGGGCTCCAAAAGAACTGGAAAAGGACTTGGATATAATGGGCTGGAATGATGGGATAAAGGGGAATGGCTTCCCGCTGCCAGAGGATGTGTTTAATGGGATATTGGGAAGAAGTTCCTCCCTGCAAGGTTGGTGAAGCACTGGAATGGATTTCCCAGGGAAGCTGTGGCTGCTCCGTCCCTGGAAGTGTCCAAGGACAAGTTGGACGGGGCTTAGATCCACCTGGATTAGTGGAACGTGGTTGGAACGGGATGACCCTTAAAATCCCTTCCCACCCAGCCATTCCAGGATTGTCTGGGAGTCGGTGATTCCCACCCAACCTCTGGTATTCCCGACCTCCCGCGTGGTTTTCCGGGCTCCTCACATCCCCCTTCTCAGGAAACACTTGGAGACAGAGGGAACGACAAATACCGGGAATGGGATTTGCTTTGCTCAGCACTTTATCCTACGAGTCCCGCCCGTATCCCTGGAAGTTATTTATAAGGAGTGGTTACTAATGGACTAGGATGGGGCTTTGTGGGATTTCATGGAAGCAATTCCATCCCTGGGGTTAATTACAGAAATAAAACTGCATTAATTAATTCCATGCTGGAGTCACAGCCAGTATTTTGTTCGGGAATGACGGAGCATCCGCTTGTGGGTTGATCCCTTTATCCCTTCCTGGCATCCCGACACCGGCTCCCTTTGGATTCCAACCTTTCCTCCTCTCCCAGCACCATCTCCCAACACATTTTTCCTGCTTTTCCTGCGCTTATCTTTCCTCAGGGACACGTTTGCTTGGGGCTCTTTGGGGTAGAAAAACAGGGAAAATTGCCTTTCCCTGTTTTCCTGTCCTGCTTTTCCCTCCTGACCGGGAGTCTGGTGCTCTGAGGAATTGCTCTGGGATATGGGAAGGAAGAGGACAAGGTGTAATTAGTACAAAAATCCCAGTTTTATTACAGTTGTTGGATATTAAATATCTTGGATTCCTTCCCAGTATTCCCACCCTCCCTGGACTTGAATCCCTTTCCTTTATCCATGGGTTTGGAGCCATGGAAAACCTGATGATCCCTCTCCAAAAGGCCTCCTAAATCCGTATAAATACCTTAAGAACCCCCAGAACTCCTCTTTTTCTCCCTGGAACGCTGGGATCCCCCTACAGCTGAGCCGGGAGACGGGAACGGTTCCTTTGGGAATCCTTTGGGAATCACACCCTGCGGGCAGAGCGCAGGTCATAGTCGCTGTCCGAGGAGTTCTCCGGGGGGTTGGAATGTCGGAGCGCTCCTTCCAGGGCTGTGGAGGGGATGGGATGCGGCTCAGGGGGTGCCTGGAGGGTTTATCCGTGGAAGAGGAGCCGCTTTCAGCGTTTACCTGGATAAGCGGAGAGCTGGGAGCTCTTGGGCGGGGTCACGGTGTAGTCATTGTCCCCTCCCTGTCCCCGAGACCTCGGAGCAGCAGAGCTGGAGCGGTGGAAGGAGACTGGAACACAAGGTGGGATTGGGATTGGGAGTGGGATTGGGATTTGCGGGCTGGAAGGGCAGTTTGGAGGGAATGGACCCACCCCCGGGATGGGGCTGAGGGAAATCAGGTGAGTTGTATCCAACACCAGGAATCCCAAATCCACCCCCAGGAGTCCCAGTCCCACTCCTAGGAATCCCAATCCACCCCCAGGAACTCAAATCCCACCCTCGGGAACCCAAATCCACCTCCTGGGGCCCTAAATCAACTCCCAGGATTCCCAAATCCACCCAAAGAAACCCCCAGTCCCACTCACAGGAGCCACAAATTCACTTCCAGGAATCCCAGTCCTATCCCCAGGAGCCCAAATCCCACCCCATGGGCCCCAATCCCACCCCCAGGAGCCGCAATCCCACCCCCAGGAATCCCAAATCCATGCCCAGGAGCCCCAAATCCACCCCCAGGAGCCCAAATCCACTCCCAGGTGCACAAATTCCCCCCCCCAGGAACACCAATCCCACCCCCAGGAACCCCAGATCCCAATCCCTGCCCCCTCACCCGTCTGGTTGAGGCCTGTGGGGCCGATCCATTGGCGCTGCTTTTTCTTGGAGACTGGAAGGCAGAGGTGGGCGGAGAGCGGGAATTGTCTCTCCAAGGATCTTCCTGATCCTTCCTCCAGCTGCTCCCCCCC